TATGTGCATGTGATTCAAATTTAGTAAAAAAATAGATTTATAATAAAGGATGAATTGAAGAAATAAGAAAATTGTAACACCCTAATCCGACTCGACTCGAAGTTCGGAGGATTCAAATGTCACATTGAACCACCACAGTGGCTAACCTTTTTTTCATTTAAAACACCATATATTTATGAAAAAAAAAACATCAATAATAGTCATAAAATACTTTTACAAACCAGAGTTTTGTGACACATAGTTTAAATCGAAATAATAAAATCTCAGAGTTTTCAAATCTGAATACAACAATAAGGGTCCTATGAATACACATGTCCACTACAAGTACCAAACAATAATCTTTGAGGAATGTTGGAAATCCTGCTGCGACGGTGCTCCTCGAACGACTAACTTGTGCACGAAAACACATTCCAAACATTGAGCTTAAAAGCTCAGTGCCGCACAAATAAAACAACTATACTACATGCATCCAACAAATGAACATGTTACATGTATAATTATGAACATAAGAGTACATTTAACCCACAACAACAAAAGCAAGCATCATGCTGTAGTTCGAGGTCACAAAAGCATCATCAAACTCACACCTCTATTTGCTCACTAAAGGTAAGCGAGATATGGGTCACATAGCATCAACATGTCAAAAGTACCATAGGCTAGGTCCGGGTCACATAGCGTCGGTACTTTTCCATGCTAGTATACTCTTACTCTTATAGAGTACTCGGAATGTGTCTGGGTCACATAGCATCAACACAACATTCAACTAGTGTTTTAAGTGCCCATGCACCAGATTGGATATATTCGAATAATCCTTTACTCTAGTAGACGATCGTCATACAAAGTGACTCGGGTGTTATCATTATTTCCCGAATATCAAATATGGCATAAGTCTTATGAAATCTTACCTCATTAAGATCATGAAAATTTTAAATTTTACAAAAAGAATCAATATGATCCCTAAACTTTTTTACACTCAATTTAGTTCTTAAACTAAATTTTTTAATAATTTATTTTGTAGTAGTTTTATATTTAATGTATTAAATATTTTAATAATTTATAATTTTACATTTATATTTAATTTTTTTCTGAAAATTAATTAAGTCCTTAAACTTTCAAAAATAATTAATTATGCTCTCGAACTTATCCAAAAAATTAATTAAGTTTATCTATCATATCATCATCCATCATGTACTACCACAACATCATCGTGAACTATCACATCAATATTGTACATTGTCATGTAAGATTTGTTAATTGTCATGTAAGTATTATGACGGTCAATGTTTGATTCCGTTAGTCAAAGGGTTAACTTGATTTTTTTCTCAATCAAATTGAGTGTAAAAAAAGTTCAATGGCTACACTAGTTTTTTTTCCCAAAAGTTTGAGGACCTTAAATACCACTAAAAGTATTTTTATTTTAATGACACTTTTCTATGCTCTTATTTACAATAATATTTTTGTGCATTTTTTATTTAATGATGTCAAATATGCATTACTATTATATTCTTATTATAAACTAAAATAATTTTGTATTAATTTTTTCTTATCAATTTTATTTTTTTATATTTGCATAACTCACATATTAAATTTATGTAATGATTTTTATAATAATTATATTTTAATATAATTATTTAATAACTATTTGTTCATCTCTATTTTAAAAAAATAGATACCAACAACAGTTGGTCTAGTGGGAGAAGGCACTAAGTCCCTTAAGAAAGGTCAGAGGTTCGAATCCTGGCGTTTGCAAATGGAGCAAATTGGGTTGAGAGGGTCACCCTCGCCTCTGCCGTACCCGATCTGGATTAGTTGATCAATAGATCGGATACCAGTGATTAATTCAAAAAAATAGATACAAAATATATTTTAAATATTTTTATTTCAAAAATCAAGTTTTCATTTATATTAACCAAACATGTTTTTTTTTAATTTAAAAAAATCAAAAAACTAAAAAATGACAATTATTTTCTAAAAATAAAAACAAAAAACAAAAAAAAAATATTTTCTATGAACTTTTATGTAAATATATTGACTTTAATACTAAAAATGCAACTTATCAAAAAAAATATCTCAAGAACAATATGGTAATATATACATTTTTCTTAGTTTATATTCTTTCAACTAAACATTCTAAATACTCTAATCTTATATTAATACCAAATAAATTAAACAAAATAATAGAACATTTACAGTAAAACATTATAGTTTTTGAAAAAGAAAGTCGTAGTCAGAGCATTTGCCTACCTTTACCTGATGAGTTTATAATTATGGCATCAACAAAATTGCAATCGAATATTGCGTTTCCCATTACTAGTTTATCGATATGGATGAGTTATATTTGCGAGAAAAGATAAATAAATAATTTGCACACACGGGGAAATTAAAGAATGTTATAAAATATTTGTCATAAATAACTATAAACAACTTAATATTTGTAGTTTTAAAATATTTTTTAAAATATAAATTTAATATGTGTCGAATAACAATTTTTATAACGATTGTAATAGAATAGACACATATAATAATAACATCGAAAATGATAAACATTTATCTCAAATGAAAATATTTAAAACATGGGCGGAACCAAAGTACATTGTGAGTGTCAATTGACACCCTAAATTTTTTAAAAGAAAATATTTTTTTCCTAAAAATTGATATCCCTATTAAGAAAGTTTTGACACCCTTTAAAATATGAGTCCCTCCTTTTAAAAAAAAAAATTAATAATAAAAAAATAAAATTTACTTTTCTTACACACACAAAAATCAATAGTCAATTTCTCCATATATTTTACTTTTTAAAATTTAACTCTATACCACTCTAACCCTACCTTTTTATTTTATAAAATTTAAATAATAAAAATTTAAAAATCCTCTTTACAAGTTTTTAATCAACTATATTCAACCCTCTTTTCCCCAAAATTTTCTTTTCTCTATTAACCCTAACCCACAATCTTCGTCTTTTGATAGAACAATATTACTTTTAACAATTTTCAAAGAGAAAGGCAAATCGAACCATATCACATCCTAGCACCAATGTAAAGTTAATTAATTTACTTATTGTTTTCTTTGATTTTTTAATGTTTCAATATTTTTAAAGTTATTATTTGATATTGATAATGAGTTTGTGTTTTTAATGTTTGAAATTATTAAAGATATTGAGTTGATTTTAAATTTTGAGATAATTTTTGTTATTGTCCAAGATATGTTGATAAGTTCATTGTTTTCGTTCATTGTCTTCATTCATTGTCTAAGATAATTTCGTTCATTTTAACAGTATCAATAAGGAAAAATAATTCAACAATTTCAAAACATGAGAAAGCGTCGTGGATGATTGTAAGAAAAAGGTACGAGTCGTTGAACTTTATTTGATGGTTCTTTTCTTTTGGTTATTTTTAAGTCTTATGTTACTTTAGTTATATTTTACATTAATTTATCGAGTTTTAATGTTATGCATTGATTTATATAATTTTATAGATACCATTTAAAATTATGACACCGTAATTTGAAATTTCTAACTAAAAAATAACTAAGTAATACTTCATAGATAATTGATAAATTTTAAAATAAATATTGTTTCTTTACATAAACTTTGAAGGATATGATTATTCGTAAATTAAACTATTGTTATCGTTAGTTTATGTTCAATTTTATTAGATTTCGTTTTTTTAAGAAAATTTTATTGAATATAGGTGAGAATTATCTGTCCAACTCAGTTGGTAGAGCACAAGGCTCTTAATCTTGGGGTCGTGGGATCGAGTCTCACGGTGGGCAATTCATAATTCGGAGGTCTCCCACGGAAGCTGCTCTCAACCTGACGTTGGGGGCAACCTACTATCCTACCTCCCCCTTACCCCATTACATATGAGAATAAGGGTCAGCTAATTTTATTGAATATAGGTGAGTTTTTTTAATATACTTTTATGCAACATCTAAATTATAATTATTTAAAAAATTTCTACTTGAAATTGATAGGTATATATATATATACCTTTAAATATTGATTGATCCTTTCAATTTTAAATTTTAATATATAATATATTTTTAGGTAGAGAATTTGACTACTATTATTATGATTAGATGTGTATTTTATCTTAATTTGATGAATTTTGATTCGATTTGATAGGAGGATAAGTGTTTTTTAAAGTTTAATTCAAGTTGGGTTAAAATTTTAAAGATGAATACGAGTCAAATTGAGATAAAAAAATTTGATCAATGATAATATTATAATAATCTTTTATATATGTAAAGATATTTACAATAATACTATTATATATATATACATATTCAATTAGGTTCTTATTTTATCGAATAAAAATGATATATATATATATATATATATATATATAGATAGAGATAGAGAGAGAGAGGTGGAATTTGGGAGAAAAAACTCGATCCGAGATAATTTTATAATAATATTTTATATATGTAGAGTTAATTACAATAATATCCCTTATTTTTCTCTAATTAAGTTCTTTTTTTAGCTAATAAAAATGATATATGTGGGTGGAATGCGAGAGGAGAGTCAAATCAAGTGAGTTTTGAATCAAAATTCTTATCAGGTAGAGTATTCTAGTTCCTAAACCCATACCAGATCAAGTGTAGATGGAGGAGTTTAATTTAAATTTTGAAGTATCAAAACCTAATTGAACATGAGCTATAATCCCTAATTGTGATTGGTGATAATAAAGATGGAGTGTGTAAGAGAGTGGAACACATCGTAGGTTATGCAATAAATGAAAGAGAAATAAAGTAGGCACGAAAGGGAAGGAGACGGATAGAAGAAAGGGGAGGGTTATTGGTGAAAGCAAGGATTTTAGTTAGAACACGGATAAAAAGGGGGCGTTAGGAAAAATTAATTGTAGCAGTTAAGTAGAGCGTTGAGTGATACCATTGCTTCATTTAATCTTCTCATCTGCCCTCTGCCCCCCAACCCCTTTTTCCCTACCGTTGCCTTTAAATCCCCTCCCTCAATATACACTCAACACAACAGAACACAACTGTAATTTTGCTCTTAATTTCTCCACCTGTTTTGTTCCGACAATGCCTCCATTGTTGCCGGATTTCTCCAACTCGGTTAAGCTCAAGTATGTAAAGCTCGGCTACCACTACCTCGTGGATCATTTTCTTACGCTCACGTTCATTCCTGTCATGGTTGGAATTGTTGTCGAGATTGTTCGTTTGGGCCCCGATGAGCTCCTCAACATATGGAACTCGGTCCATTTCGATCTCATTCAAGTCCTGTGCTCTTCTTTCTTGGCCATTTTCATTGCCACTGTTTACTTCATGTCGAAGCCGAGGTGTATTTACCTTGTGGATTATGCGTGCTACAAGCCTCCCGTCACATGCAGGGTTCCTTTCGCTACTTTCATGGAGCATTCCAGGTTGATTTTGAGTAACAATCCGAAGAGCGTTGAGTTCCAGATGAGGATTCTCGAACGGTCCGGTCTTGGTGAAGAAACTTGTTTACCTCCTGCTATTCATTACATCCCTCCGAAGCCGACCATGGAGGCCGCGAGAGGTGAGGCCGAGGTTGTTATCTTCTCGGCTATGGATTCTTTGTTCGAGAAAACGGGGCTGAAGCCGAAAGACATCGATATTCTCATCGTCAATTGCAGTCTGTTTTCTCCGACGCCGTCGTTGTCGGCCATGGTGATTAACAAGTACAAGCTGAGGAGTAACATCAAGAGCTTTAATCTTTCGGGAATGGGGTGCAGTGCTGGGCTTATCTCGATCGATTTAGCTCGGGATCTTCTTCAAGTACACCCGAATTCAAATGCGGTTGTTGTCAGCACGGAGATCATTACTCCGAACTATTACCAAGGGAAAGAAAGAGCTATGCTACTTCCCAACTGTCTCTTCCGCATGGGCGGCGCCGCGATCCTCTTGTCAAACCGCCGCTCCGAGAGGAGGCGAGCCAAGTACCGTCTCGTCCACGTTGTTCGAACACACAAAGGCGCAGACGACAAGGCCTACCGATGTGTGTTCGAAGAAGAAGACAGAGAAGGCAAAGTCGGGATAAATTTATCAAAAGATCTCATGGCTATTGCAGGGGAGGCCTTAAAATCCAACATTACAACAATCGGACCATTGGTTCTTCCGGGATCGGAACAACTCCTATTTCTTCTCACTCTAATTGGACGTAAAATCTTCAACCCCAAGTGGAAGCCATACATTCCGGACTTCAAGATGGCCTTTGAACACTTCTGCATCCACGCCGGAGGACGAGCAGTGATCGACGAACTTCAAAAGAACCTGCAGCTCTCAGCAGAGCACGTCGAGGCATCAAGGATGACATTACATCGATTCGGGAACACATCGTCCTCATCGTTGTGGTACGAGATGAACTACATTGAATCAAAGGGGAGGATGAAAAAGGGAGACAGGATTTGGCAGATAGCATTCGGGAGTGGATTCAAGTGTAACAGCGCCGTGTGGAAGTGCAACTGCACCATCAAAACCCCGACCGGCGGGCCTTGGGACGATTGCATCGATCAGTATCCGGTTCACATTCCTGAAGTTGTCAAGCTCTAGGCAGCAACAAAAGTGGAACGACAGATGGGTTTGGGTAACTTGCTAGAATCATGAACTTGTTATCCTGCATTTATATTTCTCCCATTGTGTTTTTTCTTATCTTTTCGAAGTCATGAATTTGCATAGATACCTAATATCATCCCCCATTTATGTGGTAATTAATGTATCCCTTGCAAGGGAATTAAGGAAGTAACAGTGTGGAATAATAACAGAAAAATGCTGTACTCATGCTGATTGTAAAAAGAAAATTGGTATAGCTTTATAATAACACAATATGTGCTTATCTTTTTTTTATCCCTTTGGTGTTGTCCGTGTAGGGTCTCCTTATTAATGTCTGTTACCATCTTTGTAGTTTTCCAACGGTCCACTGTGCGGCTCTTCATTTCTTAGTAATTAATACATGTCTTCGATTACGGCGAAAATTGACTTTAATTGTGTTATAAATTTGATCTAGTTTTTGCTTTTTAAAAGTCAATATTCGGTGCTTGAATCTAATTTTGAATTATTCTTTATTTATTAAGTTGAATAAATAATTATAAACGATTTAATTGATTTATTATACTTATGATTAATGCAAATTCAATTTGACTGAGGAAATAAAAGAGAGAGAAATCTAATGTGAGCATAAAATGAGAGAAAAATCACTTATTACAAGCTTGGAAGTTATGGCAAGGATTAATGATGAGATGGCCGAACTTTATAATCTTTGCGACGTGAAAAATTACCGCAAATGTGGGGTTGAAGATTGCTATTTGATGCACCCCGTTAATTTTGCAGACTCTATTTTTCGTGAAGGATTCAATTCAAGACGAGAGTTTCAAATAGCGGTCGAATAGCGATATCATGACTATTATATTTCAGTCGCGGTGGTATCCGAAACCACTATCACAGAAAATAACGGTATGAAGCGGGATCACATCAATAACGACGGATCGCGACCGTAATTTAACGCATCGCGGTCATTCGCGGCAATAGCGGACTGCTATTCCGCTATTATTCTGTAATTTTAATTTAAAAAAAAACAGGTTTTTCTTATTAAAAAAACCAGCACCTTCGAAAAAATTCACGATCGTGATATCCTCAATGACCACAATATCATCCGTTATATCTGTAATCGTGATAAACGCAACACGATAAAAAACGTGACCGCGAACGCTATTTAAAACCCCGTTGAATGCAATTTTTATTTTTGAAGTAAAAATTACCGTAAATGTGGGGTTGAAGATTGCTATTTGAAGATTGCTATTAAATACTATTTCATGAAGTGTTCAATTCAAGATTTTTTTTTTTTGGATAATTCAATTCCATTATCCAAGAAACAGAAATCTGCTACAGTATACAATGACAATAATAAGCTGATTAGCAAAGCTAAGCATATTACAATCTCCATCTAACCAGGCAGAATATAAAAACAGGACCTACTCAAGCAATGCCCCACTTTGCACATAGGGCAATATTGGAAGGATCAACTGTGTTGAAGGATTTACCTCCCAACCGAATTCGAATTGCCTCCTTGATGTCTCCCAACAGCTCTTCCTTTGATCTGGCTCTACTTCCAAAAAACCTACTCTTTCTTTCCTTCCAAATACTATAAACATGACCAGTCCAAGGAAGTTTAAGTATTCTCACGATGAGAGAATTGCCCTTGAGTAACAGGGAAGCCCAAGCCAGTTCTCCCTCCCAGCTGCAAGCTTCACGAGGGATGCAACAAAGTTCCAGAATAGAGCTCCATAGATTCTTGGCAAAATGACATTCAAAGAAGAGATGGTCTCTTGTCTCTGTCTCATTGCCACAAAGTAAACATCTATCAGATTCAATGGCGAGGCCCATTTGTAGGAGCCTAACCCGAGTAGGCAACCTGTTCAATATGGCCATCCATACAATAATGGTGTGCTTGGGGATACGTCCAGAGAACCATACCATATGATGCCAAGCAATCTTGGGGGCAGATGAACGTAGTTCTTCCCATATATACTTGTTCAATTCAAGATTTATTTTGAAAAGATTTTATGAAAAATGTGAGTCATCACCAATTATTATTAAAGTAATATTAGAATATTTAAAATTAGTCAATTTTAATAAAATATTTTATTTTATTAAAAATATAAATGATTTGATATTTAAAAATAAAAAAAACAGGTTAAGGAATTAGTTACACGTGGATATATTTGATTTTCATATGTTTTAAAATTAAAAATTGAGTTTAAAAATTTCATTATGTATGTAAATTTAAAAAGGATATCAATTTATTAGTACTAATAACAAATATCCTTAAGGACATGTCACAATCCAATTTAAATAAATTTGAATAAAAAACATGAAGTTAAAAATTCAGAAGCAATTAATGAAATTTGGGGACCAAAATGCAATATTCTAGAATTTATAGGCCTTTTTAGGAAGTTGCAGGAAAATTCAGGGGCTTGAACCCAAATTTTACCATTTTTATTACACAATAAAATTAAACCCCTCGATCAATTAAGCCCAAACTTTCCCTTAAATTATCAACCCAAATCCCTAACCCTGTCTCTTTTACCACATGATTTCATCGCCGTCCGACTACCACAGCCGACGCCACTACCCCCAAAACAACTGCAAAACCTTGTAGAGAAAACCATCGGCCACCACTTGTTTTCCTCGATTCCTCCCAAACCATTGACCGCCATGCCTCACCGCCTTCACTGTTGCATTCACCGGTGATGTGTGACCAAAACCCGATAGGGTTGGTTCCCTATTGTCGCGCTGCCGTTAACAACTAGGTAGGTAAGTTACCAATTGGTTTTTGGTAATTTTGGTATGATTTAATTGAGACATTGGATTGATTTTGGGTGTAATTGAAGCCATTATTGTATTTGGAGTAATTGGCAGGTGAAAATGACCTATTTCGCTGCTGAACGCGCCGACAGTGCGAGTGGTGGTCTCCAGCCGATCCATGAAGTTTCTGGAATCGGTCCAGGCAGAACTGAATCGAGTTGACCCAAACCGAAATGAGTTGACCTGACCCGAACTGTTAACTGGTCAGACCGTCGACTTTGACGTCAGACTGTTTACTTTAACTTTGACCGAAAAGTCAAAATTTTTGACAAGTCCTGTTTTATATTTTTCGACTTGATGAGTCCGATTTCGAAGTTCATTTTTCCAAATTCAAACCCAAAAGCCTCCAATTGACCGTCAAACCTAAACATGTTTATGTAATTAAGTGTTTTAATTTCGAATAATTAAAGTAAGACTAGAGACTGATAAGTTGTTGTTATTTGAAAGTACATGAGATTTATCTGATTGCTCTCCAGCTCGACCCAGTTCTTCTCGATCCGCTAGACCTCGTGAGCTGATAGTCACTTGTATGACATATGAACCTTATGAATACACATATTAAAATATTACTTCGATACAAACTCAGTTTGCTATGAATTAGGTTCGAGCTTTGTAGTATAGTGTGATGAGGTCGGAGCTAAGTAAATTTATTATGTGCCCCTATTTTGCGAGGTGTGTTCCCTATATGCTACCCGACTGTTTTATCTGACTTGAAATATGTTTCACTGAAATTTATGATTTACTGGTTGATGGTTTATGGACTATGACTGAATGATATATGATATTTGAATATTTGTTTTCATTAGAAAATATGATTTTGTTGAATAAGAATCATCGAAATTACTGTTCATTATGTGAACTATTTTATTTAAATATTTTCCTCGGGTAGGCTGGAGAATAGAGGTTCAGCTCTTATCAAGCTGGTAAATCTTCACTGACCTAAGACGACCTTTGGGTAGGCTCTGCGACCCCGAGATCTTTCTTGGGTAGGCCCCGTGGCCCCAATAACTTACTTGGGTAGGCTCTCAAGCATCAAGATATTCCCTTAGGTTGGCTTCTTATATCTAATAAGTATAAGGTAAGCCTTATGGATGCAGTTCTGGGAAACTGCATATGGTGTACGGGAGGATGTAAACCACGAGATTTAAAAACTCAAGCTTTATCAAGATTTCCATGATATTTTACTGAATTATTATTTGATTGTTTTACATACTATGTTTGTATTGTAGTATTGGGACACACTAAGCCCTATCTCACTTTTCAAATTATTTTACCCTTTTCAGATACTCTTGAATAGGCACTCCGTACCAGACACTTGGAGGATCAACACATTTAGTACAAATCAATTTGTTGTAATGTTTCTATCTTTCGAACTGCTTTCAATTACGATGACATGTTCCTTTATTTTGAAGTACTAACTTTATGATGATGTTTACTATTTTTGGCTACCGATACTCGATTTACCATGACTTAGATTTATGACATATTTTGTTTTACTTGGTCTCTTTTAGTTTTATTTTTACGAGTTGGGTTTTTCTTTATCGATAATTATTATACTTTTATGAATGTTATTTGTAATATGATTTTAAGTTATCGAATAACATTTCTGGAAAATGTTTTTAAGAATTTTTAATGTAATCCGTTAGACTTAGTCAAAACGCACAGGCTAGGTCTAGGGGGTTACATTTTATTGGTATCAGAGCTTTTGATTTTTAAACCTCAGACTGTAAATAGGTCTCACATAAAAATTTACACTATTTTGAAAACGTTTCAAAATTTTTTTTGTAAGGTCATGTTACCCGTTTTTATAAGTTAAATGTGTCCAATACTTTAATGCCAATCTAACCTTAAGTTTACCTCTTCTAGTGAAGTTGAGATCCTTCTCGATGAGTGCTAGAAGAGGTCGTCGGCCTAGCCGTGGGTAAGGTCGAGCTGCTAGAGTTACTGACCTTGTAGATGACTCTACTATAGACTCGCCACCTGCTCCCGAGATAAATATGATGACATTTGTTAGAGGAGATCTAAACTCTAGTTTTGATCCTACAAGAGTGATGCTAGATGAGACTCTTGGTAGGCGGTTTCTTCAACTGATTCAGGGCACAGTTAGAACTGTTGGTGTCGCCCATGAGGTTCAAATTACTCAGACCCTAATTACTAATGGGATCAAGACAATTGGAGGTCTAAATTGAGGAGCTCCTATTGAAGTTGAAGATTGGCTCCATGATACAGAAAGACGTATGGATCAATTGGGTTTGGACCCAACGAACAAATATTTAAGAGTAGTTGCAATGTTAAATGAGAATGCCCACACTTGGTGGGAGTTAGTTATGAGCAGTGTTTCCGCTAATCGTTTGACTTGGGATTTCTTTAAAGAGCGCTTTAGGAAGCATTTTCTGGGAGAGTGTTTTATGGCTGAGAGACAACAGCAGTTTCAAGACTTGGTGTAGGGAGATATGTCAGTTTCTGACTATGAGATGGAATTCTTGAAGCTGTTAAAATATGATACTAGTATAGTTCTCAATGAGAGGGATAGATGCCTCAAGTTTTCTCTCGAACTCAGATATAAGTTGCGTAGGTAGGTTGTGACCCACCAGGATGAGATATTTAATGTTCTAGTGAGCAGAGCGAAAGATGCTGAGGAGGTGAAGGCCTTATCTCTTGATAGAGATCGTGTTGTTCGGTAACGACCTAGGAAGTTTTCTGGCCCTACTGAGTCCTATACACGTTATGGGAAGAGGACTCGTACTTCAGCCCTTCAGAAGAGCAATACTAGTTTCAGGTATCTCCACCCCCAGCTGTTAGTCGATGTGATTCTTCAGGTCTGCCTTAGGTACTTCTTTGTGACCATTGTGGTAATCGACACAGAGGGCAGTGTCGTAAGAAGATGTGCACTTGCTTTCATTGTGGATCTAATGGTCATTTTCGGAGGGACTATCCACAGCTAGCTTTGCCTGAGCGAACAACTACCTAGACTCATGCACATTCTCAGGCATCAGTTCAGACCCTAATAAAAGGTCATAGTCAGGGAAAAACTTCTGGATCATAATCCAGGGAAGATAGTAGAGCCTGACCCCTGCAGAGTCGAGGGATAATAGGTTTAGAGTCCAGACAGCCAGCTTTGGTGTATGCTACCAGACAACAGAATGATAGAGATGGGCCAGAGGTTATTACATGTACATTTACCATTTATTACATGACATACTTTGCATTACTAGACAATGGCTCCACCCACTCCTATATATTGAGTTCAGTATCCTGAGACCTTCAGATTCCGATTGAGGACACCGAGAGTGTTGTTACAGTTATGAATCTAGTAGAATAGTCAGTAGTTGTGAAAAAAGATATTCTGACGTTGTTCTCTTGAGGTTCAAAGTGAAAATTTTCTCGTCGATCTTATGAAGTTTCTTTTAAATGAGTTCGATTTAATTTTGGGGATGGAATGAACACAAGGTCAATTTGGATTGCGAGTACAAGAGAGCTACTCTGAAAACTTCTGATGGTCAGACTGTTGTGTTAGTTGGTGAGTGTAGTGGTTATCTCTTCAATATAGTATCAGCTTTGGTTATTGATCGAATGATTCAGAAGGAATATGAGACTTTTATTTCCTGTATTTTGAACACAAAATGCTCATTGTCCAAGATTGAGGAGATTCATATAGTTAGCGAGTTTCCTGATTTCTTTCCAGATGAATTTCCAGGATTACCTCCTGATAGAGATGTAGAGTTCGAGATTGAGTCTTATCCCAGATTTGCACATGTTTCCATGGCACCCTATATCATGGTCCCAAAGGAACTTAAGGAGTTAAAGGTTCAGTTACAAGAATTTCTTGATCGAGGTTTTATCAGACATAGTGCCTCACCTTGGGGAACTCCAATCCTGTTTGTGAAAAAAATGATGGATCACTTAGCCTATGTTTTGATTATAGGGAGTTTAACAAGTTGAAGATTAAGAATAAGTACCCACTACCCAGGATTGATGACTTATTCATTCAATTGCGAGGAGCTACTGTATTTTATAAGATCGATATTCGCTCGGGGTATTATCAATTAAAAGTTAAGGGTTCAAATGTTACGAAGACTGTCATCCACACAAGATATGTGCATTATAAGTTCTTGGTGATACCTTTTGGTCTGACGAATTCTCCCACAGTTTTTATGGATATAATGAATCCTGTGTTCCAGCTATATTTGGATCATTTTGTAGTAGTTTCATTGATGATATTCTGGTCTATTCCCAGACTGAGGTAGAGCATGACGAGCATTTAAATATTGTTCTGCAAACCCTGAGAGAGTGTCGTTTGTATGCTAAGTTGAGCAAATATGAATTTTGGCTTCGGGAGGTGTCGTTTATTATCTATTTTGTTTTTGTGAAAGGTATCCAGATCGATCTGAGCAAAATTGAGGCTATTGTGAGTTGGAAGTGACCTAAGAATGCCTTTGAGACTTGTAGTTTCTTGGCCTTAACCGGATATTATCGACGTTTTGTCGAGGGATTCTCGATCATTACTGCTCATTTAATAAAGTTGTTGAGGAATAATATTTTGTTTGAATGGGGCGATGCATAATAGGAGAGCTTTAAGAAATTAAAGGCGGTTTTGACTCAAGCTCCAGTTTCGACTCAACATGAGATCGAGAAGGATTTTACAGTGTATAGTGACGCTTCATACTCTGGAATTGGTTGTGTTCTGATGCATGAGGGTAAGGTATTAGCTTATACGTCCCGTTACCTGCGCCCGAACGAGTATAATTACTCGACCCATGATTTGGAGTTGGTAGTAGTGATCTTTACTTTAAATATCTGGAGATACTATCTATATGGAGAGAAGTGTTACATTTTTACAGATCATAAGAGT